GTTTAGGGGTTTAGGTTTTTTTGGGTTTTTTGGGGTTTTTGGGGTTTAGGGCATAGGGGTCTAGGGTTTAGGGTCAAGGCTTATCAGTGATTAGGGTTTTGGGGTTCATGGATCCTGTTCCTTCAAGGGCTTGGGGTTCCAACAATGGTGCCTTTAAGGATCTATACAGGTCGAGGGTTTGGGGTTCCTGAAAAGTTTCGCTTCGGGATCTATAAGGATGTCGGGTTCCTTGCAAGGTTTTTTGTTTACGCATTGCTTCAAAGGTGCAGGGTTTGTATGAAGCAGGGGTAGATTCCTTGAAGAATGTCTGCGTGCAGGCTTTGCAGGCCTCTTCACGGGCCGAGGGGTTTCAGTAAAGTAGGTGATGTATTTGTGGTCTGTGTGAGGGTACATAGGCATAGTGATGGGTGAGTGTATGTTTCAGACACGATGTGCGGATACTGGCAACGACAGAAGTTTTCTCATAATGGAGCATACAAGGCCTTGGTACATTTATTGGGTAGCGTTTATGTATTCCTAAATTAAGTACATTCGTTGGTTCGGGCGTAGTTTGGGCTTTTGGGCTCAGGATTTTGGATTTGTTCGCTTAGGGCGTTGGGAACACGATTCAGGGTTCGTGAACTTAACATATTGTGTCTGATATGATGTTGTGTATGTTCTGTAGCTTCGACAGTCCAGAAAGGGTGTAAGACGTGGGATGTACGATGTAAGATTTAGGACGTCGCAGTCGGCAATTTGGATTCAGGGCATAGTTTGAACATAGGGTTGGGAAGAATTCCTTATACACTACTCCTCTGCGTTCCTTAATCTAAGTATAGAAGACTATACCCCAGAACCCAACTTTAACAGCTATTCCCTACACCCAACCCTAAACCCTAACCCTAAACCAACTTCTGCAAGCACCTGAAGCTCGATTGCTTGCTCACCTTCTACTACGGTGGCTGCAACGGGAATCAGGGCTCCGTTGATGCAAGGTTTAGGCCTCTTAGGGTTTAGGGTTGTTTGTGTAAGGGTTTGGGGTTTAGGGGTTGAGGGCTGGGCTGGTCCATGCATCTTCGTCGTGGCCTTCCAACCGATATTGGGCCTAGGCTCCCGCAAGTCAAGCCCACTGATGCTGCGAACTGGCAAGCCCGGGGTCAACCTCCAAGGCCATTCCTTCACCACCCGATTATTAGTTGGAGTCATGCCCAAGGGTATATATAAGAAGCGCCCTTCTCGTTTCGACAACTTCATGGCTGAGACCTTTCGGGACTTGGAGCAGCTTTTTTACCATGGGTACAACATCGGCGATGGTCGAGCTCTCCGATTCGTGGTGCTAGGAATAAATGGAGACCTGCCATTTTTGGCGAAGGCAGGTCACCTCAACAGGTCCTTTCTCAACGTCAGAAAAAGGTCCGGAAGGACCCAAGAGCAAACCTCTTTCTGGCTGTTGCTGGTTGTGCCATGCGGGCTCGCCTGGTTATATATGACTTCGAGGACCTGAGCCTGGAACCCAAGTGG